ATCAACCTAGATGGCATGGTAGAAGCCCCATAATGTTAATAGCTTGTTAGATGAAAAAAAAAAAAAGAAAAAGAAAATGTCCATTACACGTACAGGTGACACCAAGACCAGTCATATGAAGTGTGCCACAACTAAGAATGGGCAGAAACAAAAGTTCCAAAGCTTAAAGTTTATTTTTAAAATGTTGGAATATTTGTGAAAGAAGCCGTACACATCTCAAACAGGGAGGACAGAAGTTAATTGACCTTCAGATCCACAAACCAAATTCTGTATCGAAGAAGCCAGCCCACATATGAGCACAACAGGCCTCTTCTCTGAAAGCACACCCTTCCTGTGTGCTCCCCTTTACTGGCCACTGCTTCAACATGTACCCCTGTCATCTCTCCCACTCTGGTCTCAGCTTTCGCTTCCAATTGCTCTATCCTTCTCATCCACCCAGAAGGCCAAGTAGCCCTCTGTGTGCATCAGAGTGCTTCCTGGCCCATGCTGATATGTGCTCAGCCACCTCACTGACTTGCTAATTCTTTTGGCATCCTTGATTTGGCAATTCCAGGCCTAAATAACCATGTCTTTCTTCTCAGTTTTTAAATAATGGATATTCCTAAGATGGATAGTCATTAGGCAGAGCAAGTAAAATAAGACATAAAAATACCCCATAACTCTAAATCACTCCACAAGCAGCAACCACTCTGACTCTTACTGCTATTGAGTTAGGAATTATGCTAATTTAGTACACAAAAAATTTGTGTTGTTTTAGTTCAACTGAATCCTCGAGTTTGATCATTAATTCTATTGATTGCCTCTTAGTTATTTCATATAACACACCCATAAAGACACTTCAAATGTGTCCCAGAGGAGTTCTAGCTACAGCTTTGCTATGTATCATTTTGGGGGAATAACTACCACACTCTAGCAGTGTTTTTTTTATTTTATATATTAAGTTGAACTAAATGGTTTATAAGATCCCTTGAAGCTCTACAGGCCTGACTGCCTACATTACTGAAAAAATTGAAAGCATCAGTCATTTTGATCTCCCCTCTTATGCTTTTCAAAATGTTTCTGTATGTATCCTCCATTCTTTCTTCTTTTCCTTTAGAGACCCAATCATCTGTTTTTTCCACACCATGCTGGCTTTCTTTATTTTATGATCTGCCATCCTTGTCAGTATTGTCACTCTCACTTGATTTCTTTCATACAAATACATATCTCCCTCTTATGAAAAAGAAAATCTTCCTTTAATCCTTCAATCCTCTCTCACTGCTCTTCAGTATTCCCTCTCACTGGCGCTTCCTAACAATAACTACAAATATTCTCACTATATGCCTTATGTTTTTCAACCTAAAACACGGCTTCTACTTAGCTGTTTTGCTAAACACAGTGTTCCATAGATACCTCACCTTCATCCCAAAATACTCTTGGTGACATTCTGTAAGAAATTCCTCCTTCTGGGCCTCCCCGGTGGCGCAGAGGTTGAGCGCTGGGCTGTGAGGCTGCCTGCAGCCTCTGCAGCACCGGTTAGATCCCCAGCCACCAGCGAGGGTCCCACATGGTGGGCGGACCTCTCCTGCAGCGCCCGCTACTCCCCTCAGCAGTGTATTTCATCGGTTTGCCTGTTTTGTTCCCCGCTCTGGCTCTGGTGAATTCTCTCACCCTCCCGTGCTTCTGACTGTACCCAGTGCTTGTATAAATAAATAAATAAATAAATAAATAAATAAATAAATAAATAAATAAATAAATAAATAAATCTTTTAAAAAAGAAATTCCTTCTTCTGTAGTTGCCAGAATCCTCATTATCTTGGCTCTTTCCCTGTATCTCCTTCCTTACTCTAAAGATGGGTGCCTCCCAAGGCTCTGTCTTTAGTCCTTTCTCCTCCATACTAATCAGAAGTTGACATCTCCAGCCCTGACATGTCCATCACCACTTTGAACCTCCTCTCTTTTTTAGAGGAGGTTTTTTTTTTTAAACCTCTTTTAAACCTCTTTTTTTTTAAACCTATCTAACCCAACTCAGGAGTAACCCATGCTTATTCCTAACCTGCAAAACTGCCCAATATCTTTTTCTTCTTTACAAAATCTCTTAAATTGTGAATCAAAATGTATCTCTCAGGCAGGATTTTCTTTTCTTAGTCATATTCTGATTATCCCAGTTTAGGATATATCATCATTATCTAAAATATGCATCCTCTTTTTCAACCCCTACTTCCTCACCCCTACCAGACTTACATGCAAGCTCTCACCACTTCATGTTAATAGCATTTGCAGTGTGTACCCATATGATTTCTGGCAGATCACCCTAGCTTCCAACATTTTCTCCATATGGCTGCTAGAGTAACAGGCTCATGTCTCTGCAAAAATTTTTCAATGGTTTCCAGAGTTCATAGAATAAAGTCTAACCTCCTTCACAAGTTTCTCAAACTGCCAACCTCAACTCCCAATTGTGCACAGATTATGCTGCAGGGTTATCAAACTAAATTCAGTTCCCTGTACCTAGAGCACTGACTCAAGTGTGCCCTTTGCCTGGGATGCCAGTTCCAACACAAGTCCACCTTGTGAGGCCTCCAACATCTTTAAGTTCCAAATTCACCCCTCACTCCCTCTTCAAAGCTTTTCCTGTGGTCTCCTTATAGAGTCCAAATATGCCCTCTGTGTTACCATGAGTCTTATTCCAATTTTCAATAAATCTAACTCATATGTCTCCTGCAGATTTCCTTGAGGGGGTGGTAGGTAGTGTTTCCTTTCAAGTACTTCTCCACTTTTCACAATTGAGAACATTCCCCTGCAGGTAAAAAAAAGCACTTTTTTACCCACTAATTCTCTGGAGCAGAGCCTTCTCTCAGCATAGTCTCCAGATTCTGAACAGTGAGAATGTCATGTTAATAATAGCACTATTAAAAGACAATAAAATGACATGGGAGTGTACTACAATAACACAATATAACATACTTTCTCTGCTTCTTTCATTAATTTCCCAAGAGTTTTGCCTTTACTACAACTTTATCAGAGAAGGCACCAAATATTAACCAGCTTCCAATTTATAAACTGATTTTAAAATAGCCCTTGACCTGGAAATAGAGGTACATTCAAATATACACCCTGATAAGAAAGGACAGAGAATAGAGTTCACTGTCTCCGAGCTTGCCAAATTAAGAATTCCTTATAACAAACTCTAAATGTAAAGCAATTTTTAGCTCATCCTTCTTAGCAACACAGGTTACATGTAGCAATGTCTACTCTCTGAAAACAAAATCCAGCTGGGCATGTATTAATGAAAACCAACAGTGCAATGTTTATAAATAAATAGCCAGTGAGTTAACCCATCACAGAGAGCTAGAGACAGCAGTTCTAATGAGTCAAATCAAACCACAGAAGTACTATCCATTTTAAATAGATGAACTTGCTATGAAATTAAATTTAAGTTATTTTATGTGTGGCTTCCTGACTGTTTTCTCTTGCGAAAAGCCTGTTAGTTTCTTCTAGTTGAAGAACTCAACATGAAGAAGCTGATGTTTCCTTGAGTCTAAACTATATCAGTGCTAAAACAAAAGAAATCCCAACCCAATTAATTCTATTTTTGGTCTAGTTTCCAAGGCAGCTTTCACAAAGACTATTCTCAGCCCACTGTTTCTAGCTTTATAACATCAACCACGGCTAGCTGGAAGCTGTTATATTTTGTGTGATTCCTGACACATATGTTCTATCACAGACTTTCATTTTATTCCACCCACTCTCAGAGGTAGGAAAAAAAGGATCTTGTTATTCCATTGATTTTAAAATTTCAGTCCTAAAATCACTGTTGAATTTATTATTTTGTGATATTCTGTGGTATGTTCCTACCAGGGTTTTGTAGTTTGGATTATATCAATTTCACCAACATCAAGTTCTAGGTGGAGCCCTTCCCAAATCAGAACTGCCAAGGAGTCTCAGCAAGAGTATAAATCGGAAGAAAAGCAATCAGAAAACAGGTCCTAGTTCTAAACTGCCACTGACTTGACCTTGGGCAGTCCACTGCACTTCTGCAATTCAGCTTGTGATACCTGTTACCAAAACAAAATGTTTCCAGGAACAGCTTAAGTGTTTTGAGTGTCTACATAAAAAGGAATTTTATCAACCTGCCTTATAAAACAAACTTTTCTCTGGCCCGATTTCTTAACAACCCCCTCCCCCCCCCCAAGAGGTCATAAAACCGCATTAAAAAAAATCCTCCTTGCACCACAATTACCACCAAATTAACGCAAACTCGGACTCTTTCTAGCTTTAAATACAATAGTGGCATAGATAGCATCAACCAGTTCTTACATGTGAAGCAAGGGTAATTTACAAAAAGGGAGTTTAAAGTCTTGATGAATTAACGTCTCAGGCTAAATGAAATCTACTGGTAGACAGAAGAACTGCACTGTCTGCCAAGGACTCAAAAGAAACTGGAGAATTACAGTGTGTCACGTGTATGATTCTCTCAAGCCTCCAAAATCTATTACACTGAAAAAGGACAGAGGAAACGAAAGTGCTGATGGGGGAGCGCAGAAGCCAAGCCTCCAGCGTCAGGATCCAATGACAAGTTAGAGCCGAAGGTGCCTGTCTTAAGTTCTAGTCCTTACTAACTTTGTTCCTCTGCGGAGAAGAGGTGTGAGGTGGCAGCTACTAGAAAACTGCAGCTCCTAGCTTGGAGGGCAGGTTCCATTCTGATTCTAGCGTCGCCCCCAGGTCCGGGGAACAGGGACTGAAATCGGAAAAGCTATAAACTACAGTCAAACTCAATCATCCAGGTTTCCCCGCCAGCGTACAGCGACTGCAGGAATCCTGGGCAGACAGCATCACCACTGGGGTCCTGAATCGCGACCCCACTAGGGAAAGGAGGAAACAAAGCGAGTCGGGGAGGAGAGCGCAACAGGCAGCTCGCACCTTCACCTGACGTGCCGTGGGCCCCACCCTCGCTCCCAGGTGTCCCGGCCCAAACCAGCCCGGCGCGGGCGCGGCTGCGCGCCGCTCGCAGCTCCACTCACTTTGTCACTGGTGCTCTCGGTTTCGTGGTCGCCGCCCGCGCCCTCTCCTTCGCGGGGTGGCGGCGGAGCCGCCGCTCCCCCGGGGCTGGGGCAGCCTCCCCGGTGCCTCAGCTCCAACATCTCCGGCTCCCGCGCGGCCCTGGCGGTCTCCTGCAGCGCCCCGAAATCCGAGCTGCGCGCGGGGTCTCGCTGGCCGGCCGCCCTGCCGCCCCGCAGCCGTGCACTCCGTGTCCGCTGGAACCGCGACCACTAACACGCCCCCACCATGGAGGCGCCGCCGCCGCGCCGGATCACCCCCAAAACGGCATCAACGAGCGAGCGCTCGAGGCCGCCGCCAGCGAGCGCGGCGCCAGCGGAGGGGCGAAGGGCGAGCGCAGGGTCTGGCTCGGGGTGCGGGGCCAGCTCGGGGCGCCCGGCCCGAGCAGAGAGGGCGGAGACGCGGCGGAGCGCGGCCGCCGGTTGCCAGGTGCGCGTCTCCACGCAGAGGCCCAGGTGGGAGGAGAAGGGGCGGGGAGGGAAGGAGGAAGCGTGACCCGCCTTGGCGCGGCGCCGGCCGCCACCTCCCCGGCCCGGCCACTCCCCGCCCCGCCTTCGGCTCCGGGATCTGCAGGTCCGAGCGCCCCTCCCCCACACCTTTCTCGCGGCTCCTGCCTCCCGCAGCCAGGTCACGCGCCGCAGGCCCCGCCCCGCCCCGCCCCTCTGCGCTGCACTGCGGTTCCACGGCCCCGCCCCTCCGGGTGACGTCACGAGCCCGCCCCCCCCCGGCTCCGCCTCCGTCTCTGCGCGCCCCCAGGTGCGGGCTCCGAGCGAAGGTGAGAGAGGCCCGGGCTGGAGGGAAGGGGAGGAGCCCCGAGAGGGGCGGGAGCTTGTGCGGCGAACTTGGGAGTGAAGAGTGAGAACTTGTAGCCTCGCCCCCCAGGCGCTGGGCGGGCTGGAAGAACTACTCTGAGGCGCCTGGTAAATATTGACAGCGCTCGGCGCTACCCCTTCCAGTGACTCCACGAATCACCTTGACACACCGCGGCGTGTCGGAGGCAGAGAGGCGTCCAGAAGCAGAAACTTGTCTGGCCGGAAGGACTCGGGACATTCTAGTCTAGTGTCATCACCTTGAAAAGAGTAAATGTTTTTGTCTCACGGAACGTTCCGGAATGGGCTGGCCAGGTTTAGTCACAAACTCAAACTCTGAGAAACTGCAGTATCGAATACCCCAAAATTCACTGCCTAGAGTCCGAAGGGAGTCTGAGATGGGATGTGTGTATGGAGGGTGGGGGAGGTGGGGAGACGGGGTAGTAGTGGTGGTGCACTTCCAAACATTTAATCTCTGAACAGTCTACAGGTTGAGTTGCTAAAGATGGAACAGGAAGGGCACAAGGTCTGCCTTGGTTCCATTTCAAATCCTATCAGAGGGTGGTTAGCTTTCTTGACAAGTGTCTGCGACTTGGTTATTACTGGCAAGCTGAAAAATGGTGACTGGTAGGGGAGACAGGTGATCACAAACAGGACAACATTCAAGAAGGCACCTTTATAGAAAGAGATCAACAACAGAAACATCTCAAGGTCATTGCTGACACATTTAAAATCAATAAAGTTGTTCTGAAAATTTAATAACAAACAAGCAAAAAATCAACATAGGAAAAGCAGAGTACAAGAACATCTTTTTACTTCAGGAAACAAAGCTTTGGCTCAGTACCACATTTTCAAAAGGAGATAGAGAAATCGGTCAAACTTATGAGACAAGTAGCAAAAATGGTAAGAGATATGAAAATTCTTTAAGTGATGGTCATGGTGTGGTTTTCCTTATGGAACAGAAGATTATGAGGTGACTAAGTTAAAATAGACATTTAAAAATGCTTGTAAATAGCATAAGGTTGACGATGATGTGGCAGGTAGTAGTGGAGCTTCTATCTCTGACTTGATAGCCCCACCCAGCAAAAAGGGGCATTAGAAATTTTCCATTGGCCCATTCTAATCTTTGTGAAAGTGAGGAAGACTGAATTCCAGCCCTACCATTGCCACTAATCGATTATATGATTTTGGTTGTCATTAAGCCTCAGTGTCCACAACTATACAATGTATGGTACAGGCCTCTGTGGCTTCTTCTACACATGATTCTCTCAGGAAGTCCTCATTTTATCAGAATACAGCCCTCCTTTTCCCCCAGTTCTCCAGAAGACTAGATCTAACATAGGAAGCTACGAGAATGGTTTCCTCCTTCCCTTTAAACCCAATAGTTCCTTTGATTTTCTTCTCCCTTTGCTACAGGAAGAGAAAGATTGAGAATTGGCAGGAGAGAACAAAGGAGAGAAGTGTAAGGCAGAAGAATTAACATTCCCTGACTTAGAAAAATTGGATCCAAAGTAGAGCTTGCCAAAATAGTGTTAGCTACTTAAACTCTGCCTTCTTTCTGTATTTCATCTGAGATAATGACTTCTTTCTGCTGTCTTCATTATAGTTACTTCCACACATCGAGTGATTATACTATGTCCAGACAGCAGGAACCACAGTTTATTCATCTTCACAGGCAAAACCCTTGCCAGATCATTTGCCAGTATTGACAGGTTGTTGAAGAAGTGAATGAAGAAATGAGTGAATGGCAGAGGTATAGCACACTTAGGGAAAGATAGATGGTTGTCTCTTGAACAACTAAGGGGATTAGAGGCAACAACTTCCTATACAGGTTATAACTTAGTTTGCACCCTGTATTTGTGGGTTCTGCTTACATGATTCAACCAGTGGGCATAATGTTTGATTGAATCCACGGACAAGGAAACTGGATAGAAAAAAATATATGCTTGTAAGTGAACTCTGGCAGTTCAAATCTGTGTTGGTCAAGGGTCAACTGTATACTATTTATGGTTTCTTAAGTAAAAAGGTCTATAATAGACCTAGATAGGAATTCACTTATCTTTGTTTTTCACCATATATGATAAAGAGATTGATTTTAACATGTATTAAAAGGGGATTCCAGTAATGAGTTGCATATTTTACTTAAGATATATTATGATTTAGTCAACTGTAACTAAGGCCTGTGTTCTCAGACTTCCCAATGCCTTTTTTCTGTTTCTGTTCCATTTTTCTTCTGTTTTTCATTCAGGAAACTTACATCCTCTAAGTTGATTATATTTACGTTTGGTGACACAAAATCTAGCATGTTTGAAAAGGCCTCAGCTATTAACGTTTAATCTGCTAGGGCCTCCCCCAGTGGCGCAGGCATTTGAGCGCTGAGCTGTGAAGCTGTCCGCAGCCTCTGCAGCGCCAATTCGATCGTGGCCGGCTGGCGAGGGTCCCACATGGCGCACAGACCTCTCCTGCCGAGCCTGCTGCTCCCCTCAGCAGTGTATTTCATCAGTCTGCCTGTTCTGTTCCCTGCTCTGGCTCTGGTGAATCCTCTCACCCTCCCGCGCATCTGGCCTGTACCCCGATTCTTGTATAAATAAATAAGTCTTTAAGAAAAAAAGTTTAATCTGCTAAAGGACCTCATATAAACCCCAAGCTCATGCCTGGGATAATCACATAGGAGATACTCATCAGTAGTTCTTCGTTGATTAATAGATTTTCCACCTTAGTGGGACTGGAAAGATATATAACGCCTAGGAATTTGCTGAAGGGGATAAAGGGAGACTGCTAACATTATTATGCATGTGGTTTTTATTTTAGTTTGATTTTGTTTTTACTTTCTCCTTTGCCTAAACATGGAAAGACCTTGCCTGACATAGTAACAGTATGACCTTGAGAAATCAGTTATCATTCTCTTTCCTAAGTATTGCAGAACATTCCCAGATTGGCAATCCCCATCTTGTGTGGGAATTTGAGCTGCTTTCCGGCTCAGAGTCTCAAAGGTGCATAGCTAGAATGTCCCCAGTTTGCCAGGGAAAGGAGAAATCCTCCTTATCCAAGCATTTCTATTTACGTGGACACCCACTTTTTTTTTTTGTCACTTCACCTCTCTTTCTCTGTTGCCTCTGTCATCTCAGTATGTAGGTCAGAAGTAGGAACTTGTGATTTAGGCCACCAGAGAAACATTTTGTGAGGTATTCTTGAAGGACAATTTTTATCTAAATTCTTATTTTTAATGACTGCACTGGAAAACAATGGTGTGTCATTAATCATGATCATGACAACATGTCAGAGGAGTGAGTGCCGTGGTGTAGTTAGAAACATGGGTTTTATATACCAGAAACACTGCTCCAACTCATAGCTGCTCCATCTTCTAGGTATAGCCCAATTTACTTTAATGCAACATTTCATATCAAACAGCCAAAGTTATAGTCTAACAGACATGACCATTTAAAGTTTAACAAATAACTATGTAACACTTCACCTTCACATATATTGTTCTATTCTACTCAATAATACATGAGGCAGGCAAGATAAACATTATTATTGTTTCTACATACAACAAAAAAATCCTGAAGCTCAGAGTGTAAACTGCCCAGGTACTCAGGAGAAAGTTGAAATTGAGTGCTAGGTTTTTGAACTTCCAGTTCTGTCTGGTACACTACCTACTGCAAATATGTAGCAGCAGAAACTATGAAAAGGGGCCAACTTGTAACAACTATGCAAGCATTCTGGAGCCAATCTACCTTCAAGTTCCAGCTCTGCCACCTACTGGCCTGTGCTCCCCACCAAGAAACAACCTCTCTGTGCCTCTCTGTATTCATGTATAAGATGAGGAAAAGGATATTATTTTCCACCTAGAATTTTTATGAGGATTAAATTAGTTAATATATGTAAGACACTTTGAAAAATTCTTGTTCACTACGAAGCACCAAGCTCCATATAAATGTTAATTAACTATTATTACCATTTATATCATTGAAAGCTTTGAATCACCATACTTGCAAAGCAAATTTAGACATCTGGTCACTTGGCAGTCTTGTCAGGAGAATACAGAAATAGACTCAATCTACACATATGTTATTAGAGATATTACTCTTTAATCCACATATAGACAAATATATTGACAAATATTAGAAAAGATACTCAAAAGTGTTTCAAAACACAAAGAGTAGAGAGTATATTAACAATTGTCTCTACTCTTTGTGTTTTGAAACACTTTCGAGTCAGAATAAATTGACAAAGTTTTGGAAATGACCAAAGAGATTCCTGATTGTCCTTGAAATGGGTATTAAGTATTGTCTAACAGGTCTGCTGGTGATTTTCTGATACTATAGGAGGGATGTATCTTTGGTTGTTGTCTTAGTCAGTTCAAGCTGTCATGACAGATGTACCACAGACTGGATGGTTATAAAGAACGAATTTATTTCTCACAGATCAGGGTGCAGGCATGATCAGATTCTTGGAAGCAGTGTACAACTTGGAGGTTGTGGACTGCTCACTTCTTGTATCCTCAT